TCATGGCGCGCCCTGGGCGCCCGGTGGCTGGCGACGGTGGTCACGGGTCGCCCGTAGCTCGGGAGGTGGTCAGGGGTCTCCGGTGGCTTGGGGTAGTTGTCCTGGTGGGGGACAAAGGTGGGTGGCAGCGGTCGTCCTAGCGATCAGCAGCGACAGGGACCCGGTGGGCGGCGGTCCCCGACCCGCTCTACCGCAGTCCCCGCATCCCCGGAGCCGCCCTTTGACGCGGCGACTGGCGTGATTGCATCACACCCGTTCTGCCGACCCTGCAGCCCCGGAAGCCCCCCTTCTCCACCTGCGCGCAGACGCAGCTGCTCATCTGTAACCCTTCGCCTTCCCCCTGCCTCAGCCTCTGCTTCCTCGGGGACCCCTGGTACCTCCCCTGGCCACCTGGTGGAGGGCGTCTCTGCAGCAGGGAGGGGAGGCCAGCATAGCCCCAGTCCATGTTCGGCCACTTGCCTGCTGGTCTCTGAGGATCTTGTTTGAATTGGGACAAGTTTCTTGAACTCTTGGGTCTCATCATCCCATTTGTAAAACAGACCGCACCACCACGAGGGTTGTGCTGTAGCTCGCTGTCATTTAACCCCCACCACGACACGTGCTAAGTATTCTGTCCGAGTTAGCTCTTTTGTTGTGTTTTTAAACATTTCTTTTGGTCAGTCTTTTCATGGAGGTATAGCCTACAAACCATAAAATGTACCAATTTCCTTTCGTTTTGAATAAATGTATTGCTTTTTAAAGCTTCTGCCACCGGAGAGTGGCATGTCTCTCTTACACATCTTTGGAAGGCACGCAAATAGATTAGTGCCAGACATTGAAACAAGGTACCTATGCTTGTCCTAGTTATTCCACTTTGAAAGTTTTATCCTCCTGAAATGGTCTTTGCCATTAGAGCCACAGGGTGAGGATGGGGGTGGCTATAGCAGCGGTGATGGTGAGCATTCTGGCAGTGGAGGGGAGATGAGCAGGAGAGGACTAAAGCAAGACACACTAGGAAGGTAGAATTTAGAGGACTTCTGACACATTGGTTGTGGGAAACCCAAAAGGAAAATTTAAAGCCAGATAGTGCCAAGACGTCATGACTTCTGGGCTGCAATTAAGAGCCTGAAAGCTGCAGTTCTCCTTGCTCTCTGTTTAGTTCTGTTCTGTTCTATCCATTGTGCTAAGTCCTAGAATAGGTTCTGGGAATACTGATCAACATTATCTAATGCCAATTCCTCCATGTGAATGGGGATGCACAGACTGTACCCCAAATCCCTTATAAGACACTTCATTAGAAACTAAAATGTCACGATTATCCCTGAACTACTTTAGTTTATGCTTTGAAAACCGGCTTTTTCAATCTACACATTTTCTTAAGCATTAAAAACAAACAAACAAAACATTAAGCAGTACCAAGGACAGCAACAGAGCAAAGGCTTTAGAGTTTGGTCAGCACCAGTGACAGCGACTGCAGTTGGAATCTTTTGACAACTGGTGTGTGAGGTGGTGTAAGCACATATTAGTGGAACTGAGTGCCTGGTTCAGAGAGAAGTGTACCTGAAGACCAAGGCAGGTGTCAGATAGAAGTACTGAACAAGTACTGATCAAGCTCTTCTTCCATCCTGGTCCTCAATTCTTCCTGTCTCACACCAGTGGACAGCGATACTGGGTCTACTTTTCCTCTGAGGACTATATAGCCTCACCATTTAAGTTGCCAGGTTGGAAAGTTATGAAAGATTGGATGCTGTAGTCTTGAGACAAATTTCTACTACTTAGGAACACCTCCATGTTTTCTCTTATGGTCTTTCAAATGAGGAAATGAGATCCACCGTATTTATTGGGCATTAGCTCCTATACATATAATTAACTTTATTGTGCATGATAACCACATTTGCATTCAGAGAACCAGATAGATTAGTGCCAGATTAAATAACTGAGCATTAGAAAATCAATGTAACACATTAACTATCACAGAAGCTGTGTATGCTTGAATTATCAGACATGATTTTGATACACAAATTTTCTGTGTTCTCCTACCTGTGACTTCTAATAGAAAGTAATTTTTAATGTATTTCAGTATTTTTCATGACACTACTTATCTACTAGTTGCATCTTAAAAATGTGAGATGAGTATTTTAAAAATTGGAATCTAATAAAGTTAAGCATTTTGTTGTTGTTGTTGTTTTTTGGTACCAAGGATTGAATTGAGGTGCACTTGACCACTGAGCCACATGCCCAGCCCTATTTTGTATTTTATTTAGAGACAGAGACTCACTGAGTTACTTAGGGCCTCACTGTGCTGTCTTTGAGCTCATGATTCTCTTGGCTCAGCCTCCCTAGCTGCTGGGATTACAGGCATCCTGTCAAGTTAAGCATTTTTATTAAAAAAAAAAAAAAAGAGGCAGGCCCAGGACTGCCCCCACTGGTCTGCAGACCCACATGGGAGCCCAGGCCCAGGTCAGGCCTGGCACCACCCGGAGCTTACCTGGGAGCTCAGGCCTAGCCCATCTCCATCTTGAGACACTGCAGCCAACTCCATAGCCCTCCCCACGTAGTAGCCTCCACCTTGTGACAACAGACAGGGCCTAGAAGCAGTTGCATCTTGGAACAGGCAGCCCAAACCATTGTAAGGCCCACACTTTCAGCCCCATCTCTGAAAGTGGTTGCATTCATCTTGGGACACCCCCACTGCTATCTTGAGTTACCTCCACTATTGCCACCACCACTTTAGTTTCAGTAACATCCATCACAGGACACCAGCCAGGGTCAGGAAGCCCAATGCCAAGGTGAGGAATGGGTAATCTGCATGGACACTACAAGATTATAGGGCAGAAACTGTAATACCTCAGATCCTCACTGAAAGGAAAACACATAGACAACATGAAAAAATCAGGGAGAAAAGTGCCCCAAACAAACCAGGATACTAGAATAACAGAATCCATGGACAGTGCAGATGATGAAATGTCAGAGAAGGAGTTCAGAATATACATAATTAAAATGATCTGTGAATTAAAGAATGACTTAAGTGAGCAAATACAGGCAAAAACTGATCACTCCAACAAAGAGATAAGGGAGCAAATACAGGTAGCAAAAGATTTATTTCATGAAAAAGATTGAGATTCTGGGGGAAAAAATCAGAAATACTTGAAGGAAACAATGAACCAAATAAAAAACTCAATATAAAGCCTCACCAACAGACTAGATCACTTGGAAGACAGCACATCAGATAATGAAGACAAAGTATACAGTCTTGAAAATAAAGTTGACCACACAGTGAAGATGGTAAGAAACCATTAACAAACATACAAGAATTATGGGATAGCATCAAAAGACCAACCCTAAGATTTATTGGGATAGAAGAAGGCACAGAGATTTAAACCAAAGGAATGCACAATCTCTTCAATGAAATAATATCAGAAAATTTCCCAAACATGAAGAATGAATTGGAAACTCAAATACAAGAGGCTTATAGGATGCCAAATGTACAAAATTGCAACAGATCTATATAGAGACACATTATAATAAGAATGCCTAGCATACAGAATAAGGGAAGAATCAGATGACACATAGTGGGAGACCAATTCATATCTCAGCAGATTTTTCAATCCAGACCCAAGCCAGGAGATCCTGGAACAACATATACCAAGCTCTGAAAGAAAATACATGCCAACCAAGAATCTTATATGCAGCAAAATTAAGCTTCAGATTTGATGGCAAAATAAAAATCTTTCGCGATAAACAAAAGTTAAAAGAATTTACAGCAAGAAAGCCCACACAACAGAGCATCCTCAGCAACATATCCTAGGAGAAGGAAATGAAAATCAGCAATGGGAAGAACTAAAGGAAAGACAAATCAAAGGAGAAACCAAGTAAAGTTAAAAACCAAAAACAAACCAAAACGTCTAGGAATACAAATCATATTTCAATAATAACCCTGAGTGTGAATAGCCTAAACTCATCAATTAAAAGACATAGACTAACAGATTGGATTTTTTAAAAAAGATCCAACAATATGCTGCCTCCAAGAGACTCATCTTGCAGAAAAAGACATCCACAGACTGAAGGTGAAAGGGTGGGAAAAATATACCACTCACATGGAGCATGTAAACAAACAGGGATTTCCATCCTCATATCAGATAAAGTGGACTTTAAACTAAAGCTAGTGAAAAGAAATAATGAAGGATATTCATACTGCTTAAGGGATTCATACATCAACAAGACACAACAATCATAAATATTTATGCCCCAAATAATGGGTCATCTATATATGTCAAAGAAACCCTTCTCAAATACAAGAACCAAATAGACCACAACACAATAATACTGGGTGACTTTAATATACCTCTCTCACCACTGACTAAATCTTCCAAAATAAAATTAATTAAAGAAACTATAGGGCTGGGGATGTGGCTCAAGCGGTAGCGCGCTCACCTGGCATGCATGCTGCCCGGGTTCCATCCTCAGCACCACATACCAACAAAGATGTTGTGTCCGCCGAGAACTAAAAAATAATAAATATCAAAAAATTCTCTCTCTCTCTCTCTCTCTCTCTCTCTCTCTCTCTCTCTCTCTCTCTCTCCTCTCTCACTCTCTCTTTTTAAAAAAAGAAACTATAGAACTAAATAATACAATCAATGATTTAGACTTAACAGA